TTTTTTAACCTAAAATAAGAATAATGATAAATATGATCAAAATTTAAGATTAAAATCTAGAATCAATGATAGTGGCATAAATTATATTATTTAAAATATTAAAAAATAAATTTTATGTTATTTAATGATCTATTTATTTTTTAACCTATAATATTGTGTGCATCAATTGATTTAATAAATTAGTCTCAAATTTTCATCCTAAATTTTTGTTTTTCCTAAATTTTCATCATCTCTATCATTACTCCTAAAATAATAATTATTTTTTGACTTTTTTTCCAAATTAATAATTGAAGGGCAATTTATATTTTTACTGATATCACCATACCATTAAGAAAAAAAAATAAAGTGACATTGTTTTTGTTATAGGATAAATAATTAAAATAAATAAATAATGATAAGGTTAAAATAAAAAAAAATATTAGATACTTTAAAATTTTTTTTTAAAAAAAAAACAGCAACAATTGAACTCATAAAATTTAAGTAAAAAATGACAATTATGATGAGATGAAATGAGTATTATTAACAATATAAGTAATTAGATGGGAGCACAATAAATGTTGACAGGGAGATGGATGGACACATTACATTGCCTTATATATGGTGCATATTTGGAATCCATAAACGAAGAGAGCAGTGAAACTTGATTGCTTGAAAATGAAGTCAAATTAATTAAGGAGGGTCGAAGAAGAAGAAGCCGTTCGAATTACATTAAACTCATGACTCTTAATGTGGGGTGCCACAGGAAACAATAAGGCCACCAACATTTTGGACTTCCCTTAACGTCTGCTTTAATTGCACGTACCAAATTCTCCTTCTATACTCTAATTTCTCTCCTCTACCGTTCCATAATAGACCTTAGTGTACGCACCTGTTTCTTTCTTGTTTGTTTTTGCCTCTCTTTAATCAACATGCAACATGCAACATCCATATAGATTCCCAGGGCCACTATTACATAGTTCCCTGTACCTAGAAATAAATCTCTTCATCTACCATTGTCTTCCTGGATTATGAATAAGATCTCTTGATTTACCGTTCAAATTATAAGTAATTATAAAAACAAAGATTCTTAATTAGGAGGAGGGTCCATGCCCCTTATTTAAAGGTTCTAATTGGGTAATTTGATATAGTATGGAACTATACAATAATTTTTCATTATAAATTAATATTACAGTAAAACCTCCAAATTCATTCTAAAAAAAAATCAGTAAAGATAAATCTATCTTTAAAAAAATGCAGAGACAAATTATCCCTTTAAATTATAAGTCAAGACAAATCACAAAAAACATTATAATTCTGTTTATCACGTCAATATTTTTTAATAAAAAATGTTAAAAAATTATGATTTATCTTGATTTATAATTTTAAAAAATAATTTATTCTTTCATTTTTTTGAAAAATGAATCTGTTCATGTCGAGTTGTCCATATCAATCTTTTTTAATGGTAAATTTAAGGATTTTACCTTAATATTAAGATTTTTTTTTTCTCCGTATAGTGTTTTTATAGAAGTGACAGTTACTCAAACAGACTTGAGTAAGATGCATGTAATTGCAGAGGAAATGAGACACTTATATAATTCTTGCATTGATAATTAAATAAAGGGATGATCACCATAGTAGATAAAAACAAAGCAGAAAAGAAAGGGGACCAACCGACCAAGGAATAGGGAAATTGCAATAAATTTTTATGTCACATCAGTGTGAGTTAAGCAAATTAGATTTGCATTAATGTAGGACTGTACTAGTTGTAATAAAGTAGATTAACTAGATTCTAATGTCAGGAAATAAGACAATGTTGAAGATATTATATGGTTTTTTTGGCATAATAAAGGCTAATTTTCTTAGACATAAACAGTACAGTCCACATAGTGCTCCCACGTTGGATGCATTCTCTTTGTAAAGTTGTTTTGTCATTTAGGAGGGCCAACTCCACCCTCTCAGTCTCCTGTTTCTGACCTGTTTTTGTTTTATTTTTATTTTTCAAAATTTTCATGTTCAATTCTTTGAAATATCCCCATCAAACCCATATCACCACACAATCTGGTTTCCACCACATCAAAGGAATTTATTTACCTCTCATTTTCTTCTCCTTTATTCCCAGTATATTTTGTCTTTTCTATTTGGTGGTTTTTAGAGGGAAAAGGGTTCCTCCTAAGCCATCAATCATTGAGCAATGATTTATTGTGTTTGGTTCCTTAACTTGAGCTTTTAAGTCTTCTACCAAACAGTCCACATTATAAAACCACTTAGGAGCCTAAAACACTAGTAAAAAAGTAGTAATTGTTTTTACCTCAGAAGTGCTCATATGGTCATCTGCAATTCAAGGGTCTATTGAACAGAAAATAGGATAAGATACCATTATTTCTTCCTTTTTTGTGATATTGTGAGTAGGTGGGGATTAGGTTTTGAACATTGAAGTGATCCACTTCCACGTATAGGACAATAATGTCAGTAATGACGTTCATTTCTCATTTTGTTAATTGAATTTAA